CTGTTCTCCCGTGCTGTCACCCTGCACTGAGCCAAATTCATCCTCAGAACCTTGGCCCCCCACCCCACCCCCGCCCCTGCCGCTCGACGTGGGCCGTCAGAAAAGGGAGTCGAGTCCCAACTCGCCTTATAGCTGGGCTTTCGCCAGAACTGGCGTGGGAGACCCATCCTGGGCAGCTTTTCTGAGAGGTCAACCTCACAAAACGGCTCCCCTCCTCCTAATAAGCCGTGCAGAGGAAATCTGCTTCCACGCCTCAAAACCTGCCGCAGGGACCAGCTAAAGTCCAAACTAGCAAACCTGGTAGCCATGCTCTGACTACAGTCCTAAACGACGTCTCGCTTCGAAAGGAAGCTCCACCAGTTCCATGGGAGATCACCCACTGTAGATGTGTATACAGTTGTCAGTGATGTTTTTGTTATGTGCCCTCAAAATCGTTTTCGACTTACGGTGACGCTATGAATGAGCGACCTCCAAAATATTTTGTGGTCAACTGCCCAACTCACCTCGTGCAAACTGAAGACCGTATAGATAATGTAGTCCCTGTGTTATTCTCATAAAATTAATCCCAAGAAGTGGGAAGGGTAGATGGTCCTAAAAGTCTATTCTAACTCTCAAGTTCTGGACTGCAGAACTTAATGGGTCTTGCAATCAGTCATGTTGGAAGGAGACCCACTCTTATGGCTAGGATTCAATCCAGCAGGAGGATCTCACTGAAGAGGGGAACCCACATTAGGGCTAGGATCCGACAGAGTCATTATCACCAAGGTCCTCTTTAAAACGGACAGTTTGACATTTCTGCTGCTTGCACAAGCTAGGATCAGAATCTCAATGCCCAAGTATAGGGGAGGGGTGCTGATAAGTATTAAGCCTTACCCAGAAGAAATTCAGCTAGGAAGCTATAAATTGCAGAATGTATTGGCCAATTTGTCTATATTCAATGGTGCAAAAATCAACTACTGTACCTATGATTTTAACTTAACTTTCATTTTCCGGTCCAAAGTGAACATGATGGCAGCTCCAGAAAAGTTCAGTGTGGAAGAGCGCAGTACCATAATCCAGTTCCTGTTTCTCCAAGGGAAAGGTGCAAAGCAGATCCAGGATGAAATGTCACAAACTATGGGTGACAGTGGCCCTTCATATGCAACAGTTAAACGTTGGGTTGTCAGTTTTAAAACTGGCCATGTCGCTGTTGATAATGAGAAACCCAGTGGAAGGCCTGTTTCTGTCTCTGTGTCTGCAAATGTGAAAGCCATCCATGACATGATCATGAAGGACTGCCGAATATCAGCCAAAAGTATTGCTATATATCTGAGAATATCCCGTGAGAGAATTGTTGCGATTACCCACAATGACTTGGAAATGAGAAAGCTGGCAGCAAAGTCGATCCCCAAACTTTCGACAACCAAACAAAAGAGGAAACGTGTGGAGTCATTGATGGCTGTTTTGGAACCTTTTGCAAGAAATGAGTCAGATTTTCTGGGCAAACTGGTAACTGGTGATGAGACATGGATCTACTGTTATGATCCTGAGACAGAGGAACAGTCTAAGGAATGGAGGCACAGTGGTTCCCCCAGGCCAAAAAGGTTCCAAGTGCAAACGTTGGTGCAGAAGCAAATGGCAACAGTTTTTTTTAGATAAGAAGGGAGTTCTGCTGGTGGACTACCTCCAATAGGGTTCAAACCATCAATGCAAAATATTACTGTGCTTTATTGACAAAGTTGAGACAAAACATCGAGGAAGAACATCAAGGAAAGCTCTCCAAAGGTGTCATCCTGTTGCATGACAATGCCTTGTCACACACTGCACATGAAACAATGGCAAAACTGATGTCCTTAGGCTTTCAAGTGATGCCCCATCCACCCTATTCTCCCGACCTGGCTCCTTCTATTATCTGTTCCCCAAACTCAAAAAACACCTAAAGGGACGATTTGGGAGTGTTCTGGAGGCAACTAATGCTGCAAATGAGTGGTTACACCAGCAGTTGGAAGAAATTTATTTGCAGGGACTTAAGAAGCTGCAGGACAGATGTTCCAAGTGCATTGACTTCCTGGGGGAATATGTAGAATAGTGTGGCAGTTACAGCTTCCTAGCTCAATTTTTTCTGGGAAAGGTTCAATACTTATCAGCACCCCCTCGTAAGTGTGGCATTCCCAGAAGCAGTCCCTGCTGCTTGCATGGTGACAAAACTTGCACAAGCAGGACTGCCCCGCGGCACTAGGCCAGCAGGGCTTTACACTCCTTCCAGGAGTCTCCAACAGGATCTTCCCCTATGATACTAAAACTGGAGTTTGTTTTTGTTTGAGGCAAATGTGCCATCCTGGCAGGCAACGTGCATTTTCCATTTAACACCCTATTTCGTCTTCTGTATGATTGGAACAAACCCCAAAAGCTCCCAGTAGGGTTATATGGCATCATGCCTAACTCTCTTGCTTCCGTGATGAAGGCATGGGAGCGATGCAAGCTCTGTGAACAATAACTTTCATCATGTGTGCTATCAAGTCAATTCTGACATATGGTGACCCTTTCCAAGGTTTTCCAAGTAGAAAATACTCAGAAGTGATTCACCATTCCATTCTTTTGGGGGGAGGCAGGGACTGTGCAACTTGACCAAGGCCACACAGGCTGGCTCTACAGGAAGCACAGTGGGGAACTGAATTCCCAATTTGTGGCTTTGTAGCCAGATACTAAAACCACTGAGCTATCAACATACACAAAGCCAAAAAAATAATAATCCCATGTTGCATGCTGCAGTTGCAGTGAACAGCATGGTTGGGCAGTGTTAAAGTTAGGGCCAGATCAATGCGTCATAATAATGTGTATTAAGGAGGCTTCCAAATTAGCACTGGGCAGCACACACATGTAGGGCCAGATCTATGTGTCATAATAATGTGTATTAAGGAGCCTCCAAATTAGCACTGGGCAGCACACACATGTCCCCTTGTGCCAATTAATATATAGAAAAATAGACTCTGATACTGCTAATGCATGGGAGGGGACAGGGAGGCTGAAACAGCAGCCATTTTAATCCAGAGGTGGGAGGGTGATGGTGACTGCTGGTTGACAGGGGACGGATTAAAAGTGATGTGCAGATCTAGGCATTCAGCTGCTGTTGAATAGCTTCATTCTTTTAAAAACAAAAATTTAGACTTCTCTTTCTCACACATTTCTTTTTCTACCTGTGGTAGCCCAGCATTTGTTTGCTGGTCTGCTCCCACCCACCCCATTTTCTGATTTCTTGAATCCTAGCTGCTAGAACTGTAGCTAGAAAGAGACTACAGACCCTCAAGTGCTTGTTCAGGAGTTTTCTTTCGAGCAAGACTGTGGTGCTGGGCAGCTTCTGCTATTGATATTTATATGGTATTTTAGAATGGTTGATCGTTTTATAGTTTTAATTTTAGCAAGAAAAAAAGGATTTATGAGAAAACGCAGAAGGATGGGCATGAAAGGGATGTGTGAGAACTGAAAGATAATGTAGAAAATACTGGCCAGAAAGATAAGGGATTAACCCTTCCCTATCGCCATGCATGATGTGGGGGGATGTCATTCTGTGTACTGCCCCAACAGTGAACTGGTGTAGAGGTAATGGCCATAAAAATGCCAGTTTGTTGAACATTAACTGCTAATTTCTGATGCCTTAGTCTCTACATTAGAATACACTGGCCTTCAGCTGTTTCACACAACTAGTGGGAGTTTTTGGAGTTTTTTGACAAATGTTTCCCTAATGTACTTCTGCAATGCTCTTTTGCAAACTGAGTCAGAATTACTGGCTACTTCAGGAATCTTCTATACAGTTACCTGACAATTAGTCCCACTGATCCCAGTGAGATACTGTATAGCTCTTGATTGGCATGTATAGAATTGGGCTGTAGAAAGCGGAATAGGGAGCCAGTTAGTATCCACTTCAAATTTCATCTGTGTCACTAGGTAACCTAAGGCAAATCACCATCTCTCAAATTCAGCTTTGGCTTGGCTGCAATTTTAGGCATCCTTCAGTCTCAAGAGACTATGGTAATGTGCTCTGTATGGAGGACTTGGAACAGTGTCTAGTGTGGCTAAGAAGGCCAATTCGAGAGTGACAGTCCCTTCCACACTGAAGACTGCAATATGAATATAAAAATACACATTTAACTTTCAGGTTGTTTGTAGAGATTATTAAACTAAAAGTAATGTATGTAGCATATAAATGTGTGGTGCAGGAAATAAAGGATATAATGATAACCAAGGGAACTCTGTTTTGTCACAGTAGTTTAAAGTCAAATGGAAGGAAGCCTGCCTTCCTGTCAAACATTTCCACATCTCAGTAGCTTTGTGGCTATAACTGATCTTTAGCACTGAAATGACAATAACGATTTGCAAGAGAATGAAATATTTCTTAGTAATCATATCTCTGGATAAATACCTCCAAATCTAAGGGCAGGATCTCGTTGACCACCAGCAAAGTTTACTTCTTTGCTAGTGGTCATTCTACATCACTTTTGGTTTTTTAAATTCTTTATTGAAACAAGATGAAAATGACAACAAAATAGTACAGATCTTTCACTAGAAATGCATAATCTGATATTGTTCCTTCACATAATTGTAATCTGCAATTAGAATATAGCACAAAAGATTGATATGGGAGGCTGGTGGAAAATTCAAATTAGAATATAGCACAAAAGATTGACATGGGAGGCTGGTGGAAAATAAGCCATGTCATAAACAAACAAACAAAAGGAGTCCCTTTGCAGAATTGGATACCATGGAATCACAGAAAGACAACCAAAGCGGATCTGTCCTGGGAACTGTACAAACCCTGCATCCCTCTGAAAATGGATGGAAAGAAAGTGAAGACAAAGTTGTCCTGTACTTAACTGCTGTTAAGATGATACCCACCAGCTGGGCTGAATTCTGGGCTTTATTGATTTAGTACTGTGAGTAACTAAGCATGGCTCCAGGCAAACTGTTAACTGCACCTCTTTCTAATGTTCTCTTTCCTGGTTCTTTAATGACGCCAGTAATTCTGGTCAAGTTGTCTAGTTCACAAGAGTGTATCCACATGACAGGTTAAAGTGTGTGTGACTAGCAGATGTATGCTTCCAGCACATATAGAATATCTCAAGAATCTACAAATTCACCTCCTAGGCTTCTTAACGGAAGAATGATTGTGGAGTCAGTGCATGGAATACAAAAATATACTTTTCTTTATTATACTTCCCTCTTTTTGGACACATCAAATCTGACCTTATCTGCACATTTGTACAAGAATGGAAATGTAAGGAATCTGGGTAATCCATCTCATACAGGTTTATCAGTACCTGGATTTAGTAATATTTATGTTTTCCATTTCCCAGAGTGAATTTTTAAATTTTTTGTATATTGTATTTTGTAATTGCATATTGTATACAATCTATGCATTGATGCATATTTATTGATGCCTTAATGTTACCTGTTAATTGATGTAAGATGCCTCCTTGTTCATTGTTCATAATGTTTAAATATTGTCTTAATGATGTTAACCACTGTTGTATACTCATTGTTCTCAACTTTAAATATTGTCTTTTATTGTTGTAAGCTGCCTTAGGTCCTTTTCAATGAGAGAGGCGGAGTAGCAATACTTTAAATAAATAAATAAACAAACAAACAGACTATTAAGGAATAAAACAGGACACAACACATATAAATAACCACATGCTTTTGGACTACAGTTCCCGTAATCCTTCACAAATAGTTATGCTAGCTAGGCTCATGGGAATATTAGCTTAGCAACATTTGGAGGATCACAGTTATCCACTCCTCTTTTAGATAAATATAAAGCCCTGATCCTGACCTGGGACCAACCAGTGGATTCAAATATAGGTTGGCTTTACAGGCAGGCACAATGAGGTAGAGGAAAGTTAAATTGGCATTTATTTATTTTACTTATGTATTACATTTTAATGCTAGCTTTCTTGCGGTGAAGGGCTTCAAGGCGACTAGACCAGTTTGGAGAATGGATAAGGCAACACATTTCTGAACACCTCCTGAAACCAAAATAAAACACACCCTGCAAGAAAACCTGCAATGCAGGAAATGGGAGATAAAACTTCTCTTGCGTATTTTTCACTTCTACATGCTGGGAGATTTTATGTGGTACAATATTCAAAAATGACATTCTTCATCCCTGGAAGTTTGAGCTACATTTCCACCTTATTCTCAGGCACACACAGACCCACCCTCTAAAAAACCAAATAATTATAGCTAAATAGAATCCCCAACAAAATACTGGTTTTCAGAAGAAAGCTTGAGTGCAGAAAGGCACTCCTTGTCCTCTTTGTGCCTGCCTTCTGTGTGAAATACTGTAAACTGTTGGGACTACCATCACCACCACATCTGCTTTGCTCCAGCAAATCTCATCTTCAATACTAAAACAGATACTGCCATCTGTAGTACAATGCTGATATTGCTATCTTAGTTTCTGACATTTCCTGCAGTCATTTGGTAATACTGTAATCACAATTTGGGTTTCATTCTTGTAGCATCTGCTATTATTTTAAGGCAACTCTTAACAATAGATCTTGGAGCAGAAGGTTCTCTTGAATTCTGTCCCTCTTGAGCCAACCATAATATATCTTTTGATCCATCTGATCGCTGTCTAGTCATTTAGTCGTGTCCGACTCTTCGTGACCCCATGGACCAGAGCATGTCAGGCCCTCCTATCTTCCACTGCCTCCTGTAGTTGTGGCAAATTCATCCTGGTTGCTTCGATAACACTGTCCAGCCATCTCATCCTCTGTCGTCCCCTTCTCCTCTTGCCTTCACACTTTCCCAACATCAAGGTATTTTTCAAGCAATCTTCTCTTCTCATGAGATGGCCAAAGTACTGGAGCCTCAGCTTCAGGATCTGTCCTTCCAGTGAGCACTCTGGTTTGATTTCCTTTAGAATTGATAGGTTCTCTTTGCAGTCCAGGGGACTCTCAAGAGCCTCCTCCAGCACCAGAATTCAAAGTCACCAATTCTTCAGTCGTCTGCTTTCTTTATGGTCCAGCTCTCTTTCCAAGCAATCTTCTCTTCTCATGAGATGTCCAAAGTACTGGAGCCTTAGCTTCAGGATCTGTCCTTCCAGTGAGCACTCTAGTTTGATTTCCTTTAGAATTGATAGATTCTCCTTGCAGTCCAGGGGACTCTCAAGAGCCTCCTCCAGCACCAGAATTCAAAGTCACCAATTCTTCAGTCGTCTGCTTTCTTTATGGTCCAGCTCTCACTTCCATACATCACGACAGGAAAAACCATAGTTTTGACTATTCGGACTTTTGTTGGCAAGGTGATGTCTCTGCTTTTTAGGATGCTGTCGAGGTTTGTCATCACTTTCCTCCCAAGAAGCAGGCGTCTTTTAATTTCGGGGCTGCTGTCTCCATCTGCAGTGATCATAGAGCCCAAGAAGATAAAATCTGTCCATGCCTCCATATCTCCCCCTTCTATTTGCCAGGAGGTGATGGGACCAGTGGCCATGATCTTAGTTTTTTTGATGTTGAGTTTTAGACCGTTTTTTGCGCTCTCCTCTCTCACCCTCATTACAAGGTTCTTTATTTCCTCCTCACTTTCTGCCATCAGAGTGGTATCATCTGCATATCGGAGGTTGTTGATATTTCTTCTGGCAATCTTAATTCCAGTTTGGGATTTCTCCAGTCCAGCCTTTCGCATGATGTATTCTGCATATAAGTTAAATAAGCAGGGAGACAATATACAGCCTTGTCGTACTCCTTTCCCAATTTTGAACCAATCAGTTGTTCCATATCCAGTTCTAACTGTTGCTTCCTGTCCCACATATAGGTTTC